GTACAGCTTAATGCCTGTCCTGTTGACTGTCTCCTTTCCCAGCCTACCAGTGACAATCATGTCTATGTCCTGACATGAGCTATCTACAATAAAAGGGTGAGAAAAAAAAAAAAAGAATGTTCCCACCTGGCTCTATAGACATAGGGTAAATAGTGTCAGCAGAGATGGGGCAGAGACAGAGGACTGAGCCCCTGGGAGAGACACAGGTACTCTCTACCTTTCCATCCTGAGGGTCTTCAACTTGGGCACAGACATTGACAGGCCAGGCATTAGTAGAGGCACCTTCAGTGAAGACACAGAAAAGCCTACCTACAATATTGGAGTCTTCCAGATCTGGGAATTTCCACACAACTGAGAATGGAGTAATAGCAAAAATTGACTAGTGACACTTGTTAATATGCAAGTGTGGCCTGTAAAATCTAGAACTTTTAAAGAAGAAAAAAACTCTTAATGCCCTTATAAGCTAAAAATACTACTGAAGAGGTAGCCTCCCAAATTTTTAGCATTTTAGGCTTTAGTTACTTAATTTATTCCATGGAATTTTACTTGCTATTTACCTGCTTTATAACTTGAAAGCCAAATATGACCTCATGGCACATTCATATTCTCAAGCAGAACTTTTAGTCAACTTACAAATACTAATTTCCTATACTTCCAAAATACCAGCCATAATGTAAGTCGATATTACCTCCATTTAATTAACTAATTAATTAATAAATAAACATTAATGCTTTAGATTTTAATAGGAAGCAATCTATTTTTAACCTTTATACTCATTTTTTAAAAGAAATATTTTTAAATTTTTTCAACAGTTATGTTTGGGCCTTAGTTTTATTTAGCAATTGGATGAGAGGGAGGAATGAAAAACCAGAACAAAAAGAGAAGAATCTAATTTCTTCAAGATAAAAATACTTCAAACACAATTATTGCCTTTTCACCACTTTCTCATAGAAACAACTATCCATGATTGTCTCTGATATGATAAACTTTCCATGAAAGATCTCATTACAAAGTCAGTGGAAGTTAAATTTTAAATGCATCATATTCTTAGGGTGTGAATAGAAAAGAAGCTGGTAGGAATGTAAATTGGTATAGCCATTATGGAAAACAGTGTGGAAATTCCTCAAAAAATTAAAAGTAAAAATTCCATGCAATCCAGATATCCTACTTCTGATTATTTATCCAAAGAATTCCATCAGACATATGCACCCTCACGGTCACTGAAGCATTATTCACAGTAGTCAAAATTGAAACAATCTAAATGCCCATCACCAACAATTGGATAAAGAAAATATCACACACACACACACACACACATACAATGGAATACTAGTCAGCTATAAAGAAGGATGAAATCTTGCTATTTGCAACAGATAGATGGAGCTGAAGGGGATAATGTTCAGTGAAATAAGCCAGATGGAGAAAAAAAAACATTGTACACAATAGATTTTAAAAATGAATGAATGAAAAAAATGCAAATAAACTTTTAGACTACAGGAACAAAATAATGATTAACAGATGGGAATGGGGAAGTGTAATAGGTAAATAAAGTAAAAGGAGTCAATTATACAGTAAGCAAAGGAATTAGACTTTTAGTGATGAATATAATGTAGTGCATACAGATGTTCATTTATAAAAGTATGCACCTGAAACCTATATAGTGTTGTAAACCACTGTCACTTCATTAAAAACTTAAAACAAAGTTTGACAAAAATATATTTATCCTTTAAATTTCCCAATAGAAATGTTGGATAATGATCAGTGGAATATCACGTTGGTAAGAATCTTGGTTTCATTTAAAGCAGATCTATCTGAAGCCACTGAACCATGAGTTCGGTCCCTGGCCAGGGAAATACTGACATGGCGCAGCAAACCTCTCCTGACTTGCCTGCTGCTCCCCTCAGCAATGTATTTCAGTCAGTTTGCCTGTTCTGTTCCCCACTCTATCTCTGGTGAATCCTCTCACCCCCCCACACCTCTGGCCTATACCCCAGTTCTTGTATGCATAAATAAATCTTAAAAAAAAAAAATAAAAAGCTTTAAAAAATAAAAATAAAGCAGATCCTTAATTTTAGGAGTAAGAAAAAGAGTGCCCAGAAAGTTGTAGATTACAGACATCTCAGAGTCATGGAGTTGGCAGAACTGGGTCATGCCTCACGTCTGCTTAGTGTCAATTTCCAAGACACTTTCCATTGTCACACACACACATGCACACACAAACACACATATACATGCTAGTGCATCCCATGGCTCCTTGCTCAAATTCTTTCAAAAAAGTTAATAAAAGACATGTGACTTCAATTAAGAATGAAACATAAACGTAAAGTTGATATGAGAGAAAGGACCACTTTATGGAAACAACACTGGGACTAACAAATCACATCCTTGGCAATTTACAAGGAGTGGAATTTTTTCAATTTCCTAAATCAAACATTCAACCTGCAGTTGTACATTTATGTTACTTTGACTGTACAACAGCACCGGTTTAGTGTTTGGTAGGTTTTTTATTTCTCCCTCTTAAAAGATTTTGATAGTAACAGGAAGAATATCCAACAACCTGGAAAAATCACCTCAACTGTAACATTCCTGCTGACACGTCATCCTAATCTAGGCCTGAATTAGACCAATGAGACAAACAGATCTTCGGGCACACAGCCACCTCCTTTCCTGCACTGTACCCCGCTGCCACATTTATCTCTTTACATCATTGTTCACATTACGTCACTTTGGTATTCAAGCTCTGTGATGGTGTGTGTTCAACTGTTTAGTGATTTGTGTCCAGGTATTTTAATCTGGTTTTATTCTGGCTCTTCAGAATGTTTACCCCTCATAAATTCTACTTTCTGGCAGGCTGCTTGCCTCTCTCTCCAGTCAAGCTTCCTCATTCTCATCACCAAATCTTTACTAACTGTTTTGTCCTTGTCTATCATTCCTCTCTCTTCCCTATCTCGAATCTCATCCAAGCTTCTAGGCATCACTCATGTCCTCCAAGTAGCTTTTCCACACTGGCTATCTGTCCCTCACTGTTGAGCTCTCCCTTTTCATGACCAGAGCTCTCTGGCTTCATGTATGTTTCTCTCTTTTTTTTTTTTTTTTAATAGAGGCATTTTATTTATTTATTTATTTGTTTGTTTGTTTTGTTTATACATGCACTGGGTACAGTCAGAAGCGCGGGAGGGTGAGAGAATTCACCAGAGCCAGAGTGGGGAGCAGAGCAGGCAGAAGGACCGAAGTACACTGCTGAGGGGAGCAGCGGGCGGCAGGAGAGGTCTGCGCGCCATGCGGGACCCTCCTCCGGTGGCCGGGGAGCAGCTGGGAATTGAACCGGCGCTGCAGAGGCTGCGGGCAGCTTCGCAACCCAGTGCTCAACCGCTGCGCCACCGGGGAGGCCCTCATGTATGTTTCTCTTACTGTTTCATAGCCCTTAGTCTGGCAGCCCCCCAATTCAACATAACATCTTTTAAGGCAAACACCATGGCTTAGGAATCATGTCTTACGAATCTCTCGAGTCCTCTTCCGACCCCCATCCCCACACCCTCCAGCATGCGGCCCACTGTTGCAGATTCTCGGTAAATAATCTGTGGGACCAATCGACAAGGTCAAGCAAGAGAACATCAGTTTCATCCAAATGATGCTGATAAAAGCATTATTACTCTTTCTAGGCCCAAATCACAGATCCATTGCTCCTCTTTAGTCTCCACCTCACCCACTCTACCCTAAATTGTTACTGACTTCTTTCTGCTGATTTGTTAAATTACTCTTTTTTTTACTCCAAGGACAAATATAAATTTCCATTTATATTCCATCTCTTGTCCCTCCATAAGAGAAATCCCACCCTCTACCAGGTTTGAAGGTAGGAGGCCAGCACATAGACACTTCAGCTTAGGAGACACTTTTCTTCTACATTAACAGTCCCAGTACATGTGCCCGTAACCTTTATCCCAGTTACTACTACAAAATATAACTGATTTCCCTTCCTTCACTGCCCTCAAAATGACTGGAGCCTTGCATCCAGCTGCATAAACTTTCCCCAGCACCTGGGGTTTCAGTCTCCTCTGCCAGTACTGACTCCCAAGGAGGTGAGATGAGTCTCTACCCCCTCAAGCCCTATCTGGGATTCCAGCACTTCCCCCACGGAACACTCTTCCCTCAAACCAGGTGTGTATATCTAGCCAGTGGTCCTTAACTAAGGCTGCACTTAACCTTCAAGGTGAAGGAAAGTTTTCCTCTCCAGCATTTCCCCTTAAAATAGGAAATAATACATTCAAGTAAAACATCTGAGTATGCCATGGACAGTGCCCTCAGTAAAACATGTCATTTCTCTTTCCTTGTTTTCCCTATCAGCAATAGGAGATTAGGGTCTCAAAATTGAATCGTGTTTTATCCTCACGCTCCTCCCAACTGCCCCAGAAATTAACAGAACAATTAATTCCCAGGCGATGGGCAGTGCTCATTTCTGCAGGGGTCCCCCATCCACCTCTCTCACACACCCACCTCACACACACCCAGCACCCACACACCAGGCAAATAGCTCTCCGCGTTGCTCCGCACTCCAGGCCCGAATTTTAAACCAAAGAGTTCCTTTTCCTCTGCCTCCTGCGGAAAAGCCTAGGGAAATGCTCCAAGTCCAGTCTGCCCAGCTCCTTCTTTGGTGAATTTCCCTCCTGCTACTCCTCCCTGGAGCACACAGCGCCCCCCGCCGCCCAGAGCGCACCTGCGTCGGGCGCCTCCACGTTCCGCGCCCGCGGCGTCTGCACCAGCGCTGGGCCCGAGGATCCCTTCCGCCCTCGCACCGCCCCACACTCCGACAGGTGCAGCCCCAGGTGCCCTCCTGCCGGCCTCTCAACCTCGCGCTTTCCCGTCGCCAAGTTCCCCAACCTCCCCTGCCAGCCCCAGTGCGCCCTCGGGTATAATTGCCAGGGCAGATCAGGGGGCGCCCACCCTGAGACTCCACCCCAGACTTTCGTCCTGGGTCTCCAGTGCCCGGCGCGGCCACTTACCCAGGGCGAGGGCCAGGAGCAGCGACAGGGAGTTGGAGCCGCTGCCCGGGGCGGCCGTGTCCATCAACCTCGCTGTGCGGGGCTCTGCAGCCCCTAGACAAGAATCCCGCCACCCCTTGCACCCCTTTCCCGGGCCACCGACCCCTGACGAGGTGCCTGGAAACTAATCCCCGAGCCAGAAGGAAGCGAAACTACTCCTCGGGCTGGCACTCTGGCTACAGGGCAGGCAAACATCCAGGGCGGGTGGCCTGCCTGTTCGGTGAGTGTAGCTGGGAGGGGGACGCCTCCTATTTATCCCTGGTCTTTCTGCACACACCCCACCAACTAGGCGCAGGAGGCTTCGTGGTAGCCGCCACGCAGTTCCCACCCAAATTACCCCACACCCACACCAAGGACATATTCGGGCTGCCCTGGGGCCAGCTCACCCACTCCCCCTGCTGGGTCGCACCTGACGATTCATTTCCCTCCCCCTTGGGGAGTAAACAAGGCAGGAATGCAGCGGTTAGATACTGCACGTGGACGGGTGTCAGAGGTGCCTGACTGGGCAGCAGAGGGGAGCCCGCTCTAAGTGCCTGGAACCCACTGAGGGGAGTCAGCTGCTGGTGCCTTGGAGAGACTGGAGCCAACATTCAGTATGGTTAACCTCAGGCATTTGACAATTTAAAGTTTTGTTTACATGTACTTGGAATTTCAAGAGTAGTTGTTTTTAAACATCTTAAAGCTAGAATCCGAGTTTTCAGTGTGCGCTGTTGTGTCCTCGTTTGTGGGCAATATGGGAGTCCACTCACCAAGTGCTCCTTTAGAAATCTCGCTTACATTTTTATTTATTCATTTACTCATTTATTCATTGTATTTTTTGTTTAATTCATTTGCTCTATTCTGTTTGTTTTAATTGCATTCATGAAAATAAAGAGAATGCTTTTTGCATGTCTTGCTAAGTGCTATCTCTACTTCCTCAGATCTTCTTTATGGGGAGGTAAAATCATGTTTCTGCACCAAACATTTTCTGGAAAACAAGGACACCCTCACAGCTTTCCAAGACGGAAGGCAGTATCCGATGTTACCTTACTGATGAATATCAGTGTTTGTCTCCAAAATAACTAAAGGGTACAGCTATTTCACAGTGATCTATAGTCCTTTTGCAAAATCACTATGTCTAATCATGCCTCCTCAGTACAGAAGTTGCATTTCTATAGATCCAAACTCCAATAACCATTAATTTACATATGAAATACAAGTCAGATGTCTGCCCCTTCCTCTTCATTGTTTAAATTAAACAAATTATTATGCACATTTTTATTCCTCTGGGTATATGGGTTGCCTGGGACACCAAAATAATGTGAATTGATTTTGAAATGAAATGTCACTTGTAGAAGAAATCAGCTGTAAATTTTCAGAATCTCATTCAACTACTCATAAAGCATTTGTAGAGAGGGAAGGCATGGGGCTTAAAGAAACACAAAGTAGTGGAATAGAAGGTTGCTGCTCCCCAGATAAAAAGGACTGGGGCTTAGGAACCCGAGACATTTGGCATCCTCCTGCTCCCTTATACCTCAACCCTTCCCTCTCTGATTTTTCTCTCTTCTCTTAGAGTCAGGGCCCTGTCTTAACACATCTTTCATTCTAAGACAGCCTCTAGCCAACAGCTGTCCTGCTGTCCTTAACACAGCCTTACTATTTTGTTTCCCTTTTCCATAGACTCTAATAAAAAATAAAGCACACATAAGCAAAAAAATTCTAAATGTTTGTTGAATATTGTCAAGTGCCAGGACTTGATGTAATTATTCATCATTCATGTCATTCAAATGGTAAATTAACTTTTTCAGGCCACTAGAGTATGAAATAGTGCAATTTAACATATTAAATAGGCCAGATAAATGAATAACCTTTCCAAAGGGCTTCATTTATTGTCAGAAATAAAAGAAACACTCCAGAGAATATGTCTTCTAAATTTTCTGGCACCAGAAAACCAACTTTGCTTTTCCTCTCTTTCTCTTTTCTTTTCCCCTTTCATTTCCCTCCCTCCCTCCTTCTTTCCTTCATTTCCTCTCTCATTTTTCCTCTTTTTCTCCTTCTGTCTCTTCATCTTCTTTCTCTCAATCCACTCATAAGGACAAGTAAACCTGGGATCCAGTCACTAACTTTGGAAGAGTGAAGGTTAGATCCTCCTGGGCCTCAGGTTATAAAGGCTTGTCTCAATTCCTGAGATGGTAATCTCAGCTGATACTAAAAGAAGAATGTGTCAAATCTACACAGAGTCACAAGGTCGCACCTGTATCCCCAGTATCAGTATCTACAAGCTAAGGATTGCCTGAATGGAGCCTTTCGTGTGCCAGCTTTAGACCAGTATAACCAGCACTACCAAACCTGGTATGAGGCTTAAGTGGATTCCTTTGGGGCCTTTAAGCATCAATCTTTCTCTTCCCACACAGAGCAGCCTCCAACAGGGAGACTCCTCCCCCTTCTCTGGACAAAATTAACTTGTGCTTATTTGTGAGCATTAAACATAAGTAGACGCATGTGTGATGCTAAAAAGGAAAAATTGGGAATTTATTTATTTCAGTTCTCCAAATTATGACTTTAAGGTGTTCAATAGAATGTATTTTCTTAGCCATCATTAGCATTATTAAATTCAGTAAGAGTGAGTGCATGAAAAGAAATATGAATGGTGAAGGACTGCTAAAAAATGTTTTTACAATAATGATAAACGTAGTCTATAATTAGTAGACTATATATCTAGAAAGATTTCAAATATCTATTTAAAATTACTGACTTAATCTGTAATGAAAATGAAAGGAAAATAAGACTCAAAAGTTGTGTTTAGATAGTTTTGCTCTGCAATCTAGTTTTTCTGGAGAAAGATAATTATTTCTTTTTAAAATTTACCTATTATAGTGAACCTTCTCTTCAGTTTTTCAAATGTGATTCATTTATTCATATGTATGCTCAATCTGTTTGCCTTGTTATCTTTTTTAAATGCTAGCTTAATATTAAATAAATCCCAGATATATTTCTCCTCTCTGTTATTTCAGCTCAGCATTATGATCTTTTTTTGTTGGCCATATTCATGCACACTACAAAAGATACTTCAGATTCAAAGAGGGAGTGCTTTTATGCTGGCACATGCTATAGACAAAGTAGGCCAGTCTCCAGGAGGCATAATTTTAATGCTATAATACAAGGACCTAGACATCTTTCCTTAATACACCTGCCACAATGGTTTCCAACTCTTTTACAAAGTCACAGATTCCCATAATGAAGACACTCCTCTGGGTGGGACAATGAAGGTGGACTATTGTATAATTGTTTTTTTTTTTAATTGGAGCTGTGTCACAGAACGCCTAGATCACAAACTACTCATGCCTCTGAACCTCAGTTTCATCATCTGCAAAATGTAACAGTAATGAGCTGCACAGATTTTATGATTCATAATATCTCTCTAAGCAAAAACTTGTGTATCAGAATCATTCAGTGTATTATAGTTGTTATATTACTATTAAAATGTACAAGATATATAGAATCAGTAAAAATTGACTTTGTTCACTAACTGTGCAATTGTGATTTATAAGAAAAAATATATTTGATCATTCAGATGGCCAAAATATATTTCTCATATATATTTGGTTTTCATTCAGGGTTCCTGGGTTACAGTGTCCAAAGGTCTAAAGCCTTTCATATTCCCTAAGTATTCAGAGTGTTGCAAGTGTCTTCATTATGTTAATGAGGTGACTTTTGCAATCACTTACGGATAGAGGCAGTTTGCCCTATTAGCTGGGCATCTGATTTAAGGGTTGAAACTTTCAGTTTCATCCTCTGTCCTGTGGGGAGGGGTGACATGTTGAAGACTGAGTTCATCACTCATGACCAATAATTAACCAATTGTCTTTCTGTACTAAAACCTCCATAAAAATCAAACAGAATGGGATTCAGAGAACTTCACTGTTGAGGTCAGGGAGATGTGGGAGGTCGTGGCGAGGTCGTGGGAGTTGTGCGCTTACCCTCCTACTTTCCTCAGGCATCTCTTCCACCTGACTGTGAATTTATCCTTAAAGTGTGCTAAGCTATTAACCTAGGTAATAAAATGTTTCTCTGAGTTCTGTGAGTCTCTTGAGCAAAGTAATCAAAGCTCTGATTGACAGCCAAAAGCACAGGTATTAGCTGGACTTGTAATAGGAGTCTGAAGGTGCGTGGGGACACTTTTGTGGGACCCAGCCCATAATCTGTGGGAGCTGCTGCTGTCTCTGAGTAGATAGTGTCAGAATTGAGTTCAATTGTACAGACAGCTGATGTCATAGAGAATCGCTTGGTGTGAGAAACCTCCACATACTTGGTAACTGCAATTGTCAGGAGTGAAGATTTCTGCGTGAAGGTCAAGGAGATACACAGGGGAGAAAGATAGCGAAAAACTTTTTTTTTTCCCTGCACAGGAAGGAAAAAGTCTGGAGATCTTTCCTTCCTACTGGCTCTTGTTTATAGTTGCTGTGGAAGGAAAGAAATAACATGTGTGATGCAAAAGTAACACTGAACCTCAACCTCTGTGCCCTTGGGCGCTATTTGCACCTCCTTCCTTCTCCTCTGACCAGCTTCTCCTGCCTTTTCATCCCTCCTTCCTCTATACCTCCCTTTGGAGATCATAGCAGCATATGCCCTAGGAAATAATAGTTTGCAAGCTGTAAACAGAAAGACTATATTTTGAAGGCAATCAAATGACCTCTCCAGTTTCCCAAAGTCCAAAGAAATAAATTAATCTTTTATATCAAAGAAATTAACATTCAATGAGCTTACACTTAAACAGGACATAAATACCCAGCGTTTACATAGTCATTCGCTCTCCTTCCTCTTTCATAGGATATAAGGATGGTGAAAGGAGAGAGTAAGAATTTGGGCGCAGCAAAGGAAGGAAGGCGGGAGGCTTGATATTGAAATAATTCTTTAAAAAACTCTTTCATCAAAGCTGAATGGGATTTATGGGAGTGGGGTGTAAGGAAGTTGATATCTACCTCTGTCCCATGAACATTTCTCAGCCTTTCCTGATTTTATGGTGAAAACATCCACATATTTGTCATTAAACTTAAAGTAATTTAATGACTCTTATACTTCCCCCAAACAAGTTGCTATGTCCTAAGCTAATAACCCTTGAATTTCAGTTTACTTCCAGAAATAATCATGTATGCTCCTGTAATGATACATATAAATTCCTGTCATATTTCTCATAGTATAATTTTTTTTCTGAAATGTTTCTTTAGTCCTATAATATATGTCTGTCATCTGTCTGTGGATACAGCATTTTTAAAGTTTTAAAATGGATATGCAATAGTTACACATGACTTAGTAGTCATTTGTGATATCATGCCTTGTATAATATT